ATATATATAAACATATAAATAAATAAGTAAACATATAAATAAATAAGTAAACATATATATAAACATATAAATATACTAACATATAATATATTGCAAAATATGTCTTAAGGACATAAAATCCTGGATGAGCTGCAATTTTCTGATGTTAAACTCAGGAAAAACCGAAATTCTTGTACTTGGCCCCAAAAACCTTAAAGGCTCACTGTCTAAAGATATGGTTACTCTAGATGGCATTACCTTGGCCTCTAGCACCACTGTCAGGAATCTTGGAGTTATCTTTGATCAGGACATGTCATTTAATTCCCACATAAAGCAAACCTCTAGGACTGCCTTCTTTCATTTACGTAATATTACCAAAACTAATCCATGCATTTGTTACTTCTAGGCTGGATTACTACAATTCCTTATTATCAGGTTGCCCCAGTAAGCATAGGAGGAACATGGAAAAGTAGTTTATTGACATTTCGTGCTCTAGCGTTTATAGGCGGAAATGGGCGTGGCCTACATGGAGAGATGCAGCTCCATTCACTGAACGCGTGGATATAAGGTTTTTGAATGTGCAACCATGTGGGAGTTTTTAAGAAACTAAAAAGTCAACGCACTTTTTTTAATAGTAGCACCACCTAGTGGCCGATCCAAAGGCAATGCATAGAATATAACATTTTCACCAGGCCTGACAACTTTGCCAAATAAAATTGAGCTTTCGTATATGTTCAGGGGGTCAAAAATACAGTCGAAGTGCTGAAAAATAATAATCATAGCAAAAACAATAGTACTAATAAACTAATAAACTTTGGCTCAATGTAATTCTGCTTTTTTACTGTTTTCTAATTGTGGTTATAGAACCTGTGTTAAATGGTAAATGGTAAATGAACCTGTACTTGTATAGTTTCTAGGGATGGGGCCGATCCGATCCAGTATCGGTATCGGGACCATTACCAGCGTAATTCACGTATCGGAATTTCCCGATCCAACCTGCACAGATTTCCGATATCCATGAGCCATGTCTGCGCTTTAACGTTGTCTGCTGAAATGACTCCACAGGTGATTCCTGCCGGCCAGTCTGCTAGCTGGCTGCAAACTGTGGAATGGATTTCCTGAACGGAGGCGCGGCTCAATGAGACACAGAGTTATGAGACACGCCCCCGCTCAGGAAATCCATTCCCCAGTTTGCAGCCAGCTAGCAGGATAGCATTGAGCAGAGCTGGTCTTCCACAAATCTCAAATCTCTGCCCACCTTTCCTGCTAGCATTGTGGCTAGCCAACATGTCCGCTGTGTGGAAATACTATACACTGGAAACACCGCAGAGCAAGACAGCAAAATGCAATGTTTGCAAAGCCGTAATTCAGAGACACGGAAGCTCCCTCGCGTCATACAACACTACGAACGCAATCAAACATTTAAAAAAGCACCACACGAAACAGCACGAGGATTTTTTAGGCGAGCTGTCAGGAATCACTTCTGGAGTCATTCCAAAAACAAGGTAAACTCCAGGCAGACAACGTGTGTGTGTGTGTGTGTGTGTGTGTGTGTGTGTGTGTGTGTGTGTGTGTGCGTGCGTGCGCGCACGCGAGTGCTTGCAAGCGTGTGTTAGATGTTTACAGGTATTGCACTTTTCTTATATTTCAAGACTCAAATATTTGACATTTGGGGAATTTAATAAATATTGACATGACAATCAATTTGAAACCCTTACAGTTGCATATTTGTTTTCAGGATGGGATTTTTCCTGTTAACAGGATTTCCTGTTTTTCTGACTTCCTTTTCTGACCTTATACTTACCTCAAGTTGCCTTTTGGGACATACATGCATACATACGTACAGATCATACTTACCTGTTGAGAGGAGTTTATTCATATTATCTCATATAAAATCAAAAATAATGATAATAATACTATTAAAGCAAACAGAGCTCTGGTATCGGAATAGTATCGGTATCGGCCGATATCTAAATTCAGGTATCGGGATCGGATCGGAAGTGAAAAAATGTGGATCGGTGCATCCGTAATAGTTTCCTTTCTAGTCTTCCAACAACTCAAAGCACTTTTACACTATAGCCACATTCACCCTTTCACACACATTCACTCAGTGATGGCAAAGATCATCAAACAGAAACTAACACATTCACACACCGATGCACAGCATAGGGAGCAATTTGGGGTTCAGTATCTTGCTCAAGGATACTTCAACATGTGCCGGGAGGAGCCGGGGATCCGATTTGTGGAAGACCAGCTCTGCCTCTGAGCCACAGCTGCCCTGTTATGAGTATTATACTGTATATAGCCTTCTAATAAAGAGTTAAGCTGGAAAAATGTAAAAAAAAAAAACAACTAAACAGGGTGCCCGGTTAGCTCAGTCGGTAGAGCTGGCGACCCAGGGTCCGAATCCGACCTACCTATCCGACCCAAGGCCCTTTGCTGCGTGTCATCCCCTCTCTCTCTGCCCACCTTTCCTGTCTATCTTCAGCTGTCTCTATCAAATAAAGGCAATAAAAAGCCCCCCCAAAAAAAAACGAAACAGGTTAAATGCCGTTCTATACCATTTAACAGGGGACCCCTGACATTCTTTACAATCCAAGTGTGGACTAACTTTCTGTTTTTAGATCGCGAGATTCCAAACAAAAGTCAACATATAAAGCCCTGTTCATAGATCTGTATTATTTTGTGATGGCCCTGAGATGAGCTGCCAATAGCTCATTACCATTCCAATGCCCATTTAAAGCACTAACAGACAATAAAATGAAGAAGGAATTAAAGATTTATGAATGAGTTGTTGAAAATCCCTGCTCCAGCCTGCAGAGTCAAGGCTGAATATGGATTAAACACTCACACACCTTTAAGTTCCCTGTTGGCCAGAGCGCATTACACATGATTTTAGGTTGATTTAAAGCATGTCCAAGAGGGGACTCTCAGTCCCCTGTTTGTAGGTGTGTAACGATGCCCCTGTTAGATAGGTAGGCTAGGACACACACACACACACACACACACACACACACACACACACACACACACACACACAATAACACACACACACTCACACACACACACTCAGTGATTGAACTGTGTGTGTGGCTCAATTAAAGCTTTGATTGTTCACAGGCTGAAACCTGCTGAGTCTTACTGTGTGTGTAAGACATCATTTATATTCTTATTATTTATATCAGATTATTTATATTATTATTATTATTATATTCTTGTTATTAAATCCTATTATTTGTCATTTATCAAAATGATAGGTAACTGATACTTTAATTTATGGAGCGAAGCCTGCTAGGTAGTTCAGGCAGTCAACTCGAGCTGCGCTGATATACACACATGACATGCCTTATTCCATAATCACTAACCATCACTCCCCAATATCTCTATGTAAACATATCTACGGGGAGTGATGAGGTCGGAGCCAAAATCTAAATATGCTATACTGCTGTAATAAATAATAATATAATAATTATTATTATATTATTGTTGTTATTATTTATTATTATTTTTATTGTTATTATTATCATTATCATTTATTATTATTGTTGTTATTATCCACTGCCAGTCTGAACATTTGAACACTTTATAAAGATCATGTTCTTCATTCATTACTGATTATAACATGAAGGAGATTTTTCTAAAATATTTAATAATAATAATAATAATAATGTTCTGAAAAGTAGAAAACTTTATAATGTAACATATTATAACATACATTATATTACTGTGTTTAAGGTGGACTTGCAGAGTCTCCATAGTGACTGTATTTAAGGTGGACTTACAGTGACTCCAGGTTATGCAGTCCGTAAAAACTCCTGCGGCCCAAAGAGTGGATGCAGTTGCCATGGAGATGTCTTCATAAAAGAAAGAGAGAAAACATTTGTAACACGTCTAAATAAAGTTTCAACCTTTATTTAATTTCTGAATATTCTAACAGTTAAATATTGATCACCTGCCAATCAAACAATGTAAGCAGTACTGGGATGTTCCTGTAGGTGGCGCTTTCCTCTTGGTGTTTTATATTCTACTTTCTGTATCAGCTGTTATCAGGTTGCCTCTTTATGTAAGTTTATATGTGTATATATAAATAAAATGAAGGTTGGGCACCTCCTTCGTCATGGTTACAGCCAGGTGAATTCAGCATAGACCTAAAACAGAGGCCTGAACCAGAGACACTCACAGCACCAGCAGCTGGCGGAGGGTGGCGAACCCTCGCTCAGGGATGCAGCTGATGTTGTTGATGGCTAGAGTCAGAGCCTGGAGCGCCGTCAGGTGACTCAGAGCGAGAACAGGAACCTTCGTTAGCACATTAGCATCCAGCCACAGGTAGCGCAGAGACGTCAGGCCTTTAAAGGACGAGGCCGGCAGGTGGGAGATAGAGTTAGCATCCAGACGTCTGACAAGAGGAGACAAACCAAAAAGAATCAATAAAAAGTATTTAACATATAGACTGATATATTGATCAGCACTCTGTCTATATCAGAACCAGCATTAACTGTTTCAGCAGTTTGAGCTACAGTAGCTTGTCTGTTGGATCGGACCACACGGGCCAGCCTTCACTCCCCACCTGCATCAATGAGCCTCGGTCCCCCATGACCCTGTCTCCGGTTCTGTTCCTTCCTTGGACCACTTTTGATAGATACTGACCTCTGCAGACCGGGAACAACAAGAGCTGTTCTGACCCAGTCGTCCATCACAATGTGGTTCTTGTCAAAGTGGATCAGATCCTCATGCTGCCCATTTTTCCTGCTTCTAACACATCAACTCTGTTCACTGTCTGCCTGATGTACCCCCTCACTATCTGCCTGATAATAAAATTGTGTGTTTGTACAGTGATAATAAAGTTGTGTCTGTACAGTGATAGTAAAGTTGTGTGTTTGTACAGTGTTAATAAAGTTGTGTGTTTGTACAGTGTTAATAAAGTTGAAGTGTTAATAAAGTTGTGTTTGTACAGTGTTAATAAAGTTGTGTGTCTGTACAGTGATAATAAAGTTGTTTATAATAAAGTTGTGTGTTTGTACAGTGTTAATAAAGTTGTGTCTGTACAGTGATAATAAAGTTGTGTCTGTACAGTGATAATAAAGTTGTGTCTGTACAGTGATAATAAAGTTGTGTGTTTGTACAGTGTTAATAAAGTTGTGTGTTTGTACAGTGATAATAAAGTTGTGTGTTTGTACAGTGATAATAAAGTTGTGTTTGTTCAGTGATAATAAAGTTGTGTCTGTACAGTGATAATAAAGTTGTGTGTTTGTACAGTGTTAATAAAGTTGGTTTGTCGTGTAATAAAGTTGTGTTTGTACAGTGATAATAAAGTTGTGTGTCTGTACAGTGTTAATAAAGTTGTGTTTGTTCAGTGATAATAAAGTTGTGTCTGTACAGTGATAATAAAGTTGTGTGTTTGTACAGTGATAATAAAGTTGTGTCTGTACAGTGATAATAAAGTTGTGTGTTTGTACAGTGATAATAAAGTTGTGTCTGTACAGTGATAATAAAGTTGTGTGTCTGTACAGTGATAATAAAGTTGTGTGTTTGTACAGTGATAATAAAGTTGTGTGTTTGTACAGTGATAATAAAGTTGTGTTTTTCTTATTGGATTCAATATAAAAATTGTTGTTGTTGTGAAGACTGACTTGTTGTCGTTAAGAGAGCTCGGTACCCAACAAACGATCAGGGAGGTCTGGCATTCTTTGCCTGTATGGAGTCATTTATGGTGTCGACAGGCGCTGTGGGAACCGCAGACAGGCAGACAGACAGCTGTGTGAGGCCTGTTGAGCAGAGGTTGGCACATTGAACACAGCGAGGTGTTAATTGTTGGTTACTGCAGAAGGCTCAGCTCAACATGCAGCTCCACATGCAGCTCCACACACTGTATATATATATTTCTGTGTAAATCTCTGTATATTTCTGTGTATTTCTGTGTATTTCTGTGTATTTCTGTAATTTCTGTGTATATTTCTGTGTATTTCTGTATATTTCTGTGTATTTCTGTATATTTCTATATTTCTGTGTATATTTCTGTGTATTTCTGTATATTTCTATATTTCTGTGTATATTTCTGTGTGTATTTTTGTATATTTCTGTTTATATTTCTGTGTATTTCTGTATATTTCTGTGTATATTTCTGTTTATATTTCTGTGTATTTCTGTATATTTCTGTATATATTTCTCTATATTTCTGTGTGTATTTTTGTATATTTCTGTATTTCTGTGTATATTTCTCTGTATTTCTGTGTATTTCTCTGTGTATTTTTGTATATTACTGTGTATATTTCTGTGTATATTTCTGTGTATTTCTGTATATTTATGTGTATTTCTGTGTATATTTCTGTGTATTTCTGTATTTTTCTGTGTATATTTCTGTATATTTCTGTGTATTTCTGTGTGCATTTCTGTGTATATTTCTGTATATTTCTGTGTGTATTTCTGTGTGTATTTCTGTGTATATTTCTGTGTATTTCTGTGTATATTTCTGTGTATTTCTGTGCATTTCTGTGTATATTTCTGTGTATTTCTGTGTATATTTCTGTGTATTTCTGTGTGTATTTCTGTGTATATTTCTGTGTATCTGGGTTCGAATCTGACCTGCGGCCCTTTGCTGCATGTCATCCCCCCTCCTCTCTACCCCCCTTCCTGTCTCTCTACAGCTGTCTCTGTCAAATAAAGGCATAAAAAGACCCAAAAAAAATAATACTTAAAAAAAAAAAAAAAAAAAGTGTCCTGAGATAACTTTCAGGGTCTGTTGTAAATTGGAAGATGGAAGGTTGAGTGACTCACAGAGTGCACAGGTTTTTGAGGTTCTGCAGAGCTCCAGAGGGAACCGTACTCAGCTGGTTGTTCTGCAGAAATCTGAGACGAGAGGAAAGTAATTTGATATTCCCAGTAAAACCATCAAACTCTAACAGGAAGTTTACTGGTGGGATCAGTGATGACTACAGTGACAGCGAGCCAGTTTAAACTTCTTTCTATAATCAGTAATCAAACCCTAAGAAATAACATACAATGTGTGATAACTCATAAATGAGCTGATTTAACAACAACAGCAACAACAACAACAATAATAATAATCAATTTAGAAGTTCAGGGGGGTATTGCACAAAAGTAGGATAAAGAAATCCAGGATAATTGAGCAAGCGCGGCTTGTCCTAGCCTGCTCAGCGCATCCTGGCTTAATCGGTTGCACGTTTGCCGAGCCAGGATTAAAAGGTGCGGCTATGTTAAGCCAGGTGTAGATAGTCGGGATAAGTGCGTGTTCACGGCATACTGAAATAGACCTCGCGATCGCTCACAGAATCACCGATGGCAACATGGATAAGAGTCGCCTTGATTTACCCCTGAAAAACAGCTCCTGATGGAGTTCTATGAAGAGGTGAAAGATAGAAGAAACAAAGGCAATACCAATGCCATAATTAAAGAAAGAGAGAAAGCCTGGCAGACAATAGCGGACCGGCTTAATGCTTAAGTAGTCCAAAACTGTACAATGAATAAACAGTGCTCCACTGGAACTGTCATCATTAGGCTCCAATTAAAGGACTAAAGGAGTTACTTTAAGTCCACTAATCAACTGTTGTACACTTTGCTTTAAATGTGGCAAGTAGAGGTTCATGTTACTTAAATGTAGAGTATGATTAAGTGCAAACAATTATCCACAATGTGTGTCATTTAATTTATTTTTATCTATTTTATCTTTCTATCCTTCATAAAGAACAAACTTGTCTGGCCATAAAAGGACCTGGCAGCAAGTTAAAGTTAAATACAAGAACATTTTGCAGGCTGGTCAGTGACTCTAAAGTAGATAACAGTGAACAAATGAGGTGAATAGATTAGGTGTCTGCTGACATGTTGAATGTCTGTATGATTGTAGCAGTTTAAAAAAAGCCCATAGAACTGGCACAGGGGGCGGCCCACCAAGCCAGGATATGTGCGGCAAATGGTTCCTTTATTGAGGTTCTCTGCATCCCCAACAGAATAAAGGAAGCTCCCACTTGCAAAACATCTCACTGTAACACAGACCATCTGTGGTACAGTGAGAGCATGGCTTCCTGCCGTCTGGTGCTGTATTTTTGGACCCAGCAGCCTACATAAATATCTTAGTCCATCACCTGAGAATCTGTATCTCTCAATGAGATAGTCCTCTCCAACGGCCAATGGGTCTGACCTGTCCCAGAAGACTCTTTCATGACTAAATGCTCGTCTGAGGATTAGGGCTTCCTCATCCAGTACATCCTCCAAGAAAGGGCAAGCCATTATGAAGAGGGAACAGGTGTGAATAATATATATATATATATATATATATATATATATATAGTGTATTTAGTCTAAATGGCATGCTGTTTAGGAAATGAAGCTTTGAATATATTGAATGAATCTTTGAATATATGGAATGAAGCTTGGATATACTGATAAAAATGTGAGAATACTGAATGAAATTGAAAACCTAGTTGTATCCTTTTCATCAAAGTGATAGCCTTCTGAATTAGCTGGTTTTAGAAAAATGGCATCAGTTGAAATATTACAATACTTTCTTAAACTGGAAAACTTTTTTGCTTTTTCTGTCAGGATTTAGCCTGAGGCCTGTTGTAGTCGGCCTGCCACCATTAAAAAGGGAGTGAACTTCTTTGTCAGGAGAACGGTATTGGGCACGGGTACTATGGGAAGGATTTTGGCCCATACAAGCACTTACCAATGAGTTAATAATGTCCTCATTGCTCAGTATTGCTGCCACAAGGTTCCTGACTGACTCATTCTCACTTCTACAAGATGGCAGCAGTGCCTTGATGACCAGTCAAGTTTCATTCAATATATTAAAAGATTAATTCAATATATTAAAAGATTCATTCTATATATTCAAAGATTAATTTCCTAAACGGTATGCCATAATATATATACTATATTGCCCTTGTCACAGATTTCATTGAAAACACCTTTGCAACTTCATCAGCTGTGTTTTGTAATCTCAATTACTGCAATAAAACACATATTTATGCAGTTTGACAAGCAGTCTTCATTAGCATAGCAATATAACACTTGTCCTGAGTAATAATACTACCACTTGAATCAATATAAAAAGACTGTTGCAATTACAAACAGCCAACAGATTTAAATGAAATAAGAAATGACAATATATATGTAATATTTTAATGCAGGATAATTAAAATGATGCAACATACTTAGAAAGACCATGGACATGCTGTAAAACACATTAATTCCTCACAGGATTGACGGTGGAAATACAGGTGAATCACTAGGATTAATCTTAGCCTGGCTGTTAGCCTGGTCTGGAGCAGGCTAGCTGCAGAGAATAAATCACCATAGTAACTTGGCCGGGATAAGTTTGACCTGCTTTCATGCAACCGACTTGAGGCTAAATTCATCCAGGATAACCAACATATCCCGGCTTAATCCCTTATCTTGGTTTTGTGCAATACCCCTCAGATTAAAGACTAAAAGCACCATGATAAAAACCATTTGTTCAGTTTCCTGTTGGAAAACAATGTTTTAAATAAAATCCTCTCACATTAAATAACTATAACAATAATAGTAACTCCTTTTCATCCATTCAGATCAAAACACAGAACTTCCTGTTATTTTAATGAGATTATTATGTAATGATTCTGTTTCTTTTTTATTTTATTTATGTCTTCTTAAATAAAGTCTCATTAATTTTCAATGAGAAGTTGATGTTTTTTCAATTCTTTATTGTCATTAATTGATACATTTATTCTGATGATGGTGAACAAGAAAAGTGAAGAAGAAAAAAACAAACACAATAAATCAATAATATAGCCCTCTTAAAATTAAATGTATTATTATTATTTTAGTATTTTTCAGCTGCAGAATCTAAAATTCTTTTATAATCTGTATTTTATTGTCTTATCTTTCTTGTTTCCATTTAGACCACAGACTCAATCATTCATTCAGTTGGATTCATTCCTCCTTCAGGAAAATAAATCAGCTTTTATAAACTGGATTTTAAAGTTTAAAGATATTTTTCCACTTTTTCTTTTCAGACTTTTTACCAATAAACGTCAATAATAGCTTGTTATTTACTCTCAATAACTGATCAACATTTGATCTCTCTAATGATTTGATATTTCGGCTTCTTTACAGACTTGAGCTGTTGCAGCTGGAATAAAGTGGCTCACAGCGCTCTACACTGACGGAGGTCGTTCTCTCCGTTTGATCAAACAGGAAGTTTCACGTTCAACTTTTAATGAACTGAGATTGATTCGTTAATTCTGTTGACAGTTTTCTTTCTCTGATTGTTTAATGAGACAGACAATGATAAAGGACTGTACTGTATATGAAACTCCTGACATTATGGTTATTAATTATTATCTTTAATCCACAAAACTAAACAAATATGTTTAAGGAAAAACCTTTATGTAATTCCTGGAAAGTGATCAGACCAAATGACTATAAATATAATGTTAATACACAAACTTTGAAAGAGTTTTCAAACTTTTCTGTCACGTTCCAACAATGTAAATCCTCTGAATTCATCCGGTCAGCTTTACTGCAGTAAAAACAGATATCAAATATAACAGAAAG